GGGCGAGCATGTTTGGTGTGACGGGGATTCGAACCCGCGACCCTCAGATTGCGGCTTGCTTTATGAAAAAGCTTTTTGTTGTTCACAAACCAGTTTCGTGGGTTTTGAAATATAACATTGACTAAGCCGAGCTATACAACGGATTCGTGTCATAACCCCCCACCCCCGAAAAAAATATTTAAATTATGTGAGAACGCAAAAATTGTTTGTTTGTTGTCCAGTTAACTGTGGCGTGAGAATCGCGGGTGTCGAAAAAGGATGTGAGGTATATTTTGAAATGACTACTTCATACATATATATACAAAACCATTCACCTCTACAATTCAAAGATTGAAGAATTAAACATAAGAACAAGACAGAAGGCAGGAGTAATCCAACGGAAACAATGCAAGATTTCAACACACTGCCTAAAATTTCCTTTCGGAGAAGATCAAAGGTGAGTGGTAATTATAAGTTTATCGAACAAAGAAGTGTAGGTGTGGCGTGAGAGAGAGATAGAGACAAATTAGACAAGTTAGTTTCTTCAAATATAAATCTCCGAAACGTGTTAAGTGAACACTTTGATATCTAAAGATGATAAGAACCAGCGAAAATATCTCCAGGTATCTAAGCTAGAAGACACAACGCTGCAATAAGGTTTGTCACTCATTCAAAATGCATATATAATTAACAGGTTGTGTTGTGTGTTTGAGGGCTGGGTGACGTATAGAATGTCACAGAGATATTTATGAAGACTTTACCAAAACTCCTTAGTCAAATGTGGTATAAAAGTTTCAAAAAGTGAATCGTTCTTTCTTCAGTTTAAGGATGATAAAGACTAAATTTGTTCAACCGGCCCCCCAGTGGCACAGCGGTATGTCTGAGGACTTGCAACGCTAGAATCCGGGTTTCGATACCCGTGGTGGGCAGAGCACAGATAGCCCATTGTGTAGCTTTGTGCTTAATTACAAACAAGCAAACAAACATGTTGTTCAACCGAAAATAACATTAATAGGCCCAAAAGGCTTTCACCGAATTTATGCCCCTTCCTACAAAAAAAGCACCAGAGGTCATGCTAATCTCTCAGAGAATTTATGAGAAACAGAAAACAAAAATATTACAGAAAACGTGAAGAACAAAATACAGGATGTACTTGGCAAATTTAAACCTAAAAAACTCGAGTAGAAAGCTCATCATGTTGTTAGTAATATAATACTATAAACTTTATAAGATAAA